GATGATTATGTCTTTAAATTACTTATACTAACACACTTTGTGTATGTTTTTTGTAGAGGTATTTCAACAACATTGATGATACTAGCAGAACTTTTTGTCTCCGGTTGACCAGAAAACTACTAAGAGGGTTTATGACTTTTTTAAATATCAAGTTTCTTAGGGATGCAGATAAATTTTTTGTTGATGCAAAGCTTCCATCTAAATATGCAAGTTTGGTTTCACCTAAAGAATGGGAAACGTTTAAAGCCAAATGAAAAACTCAAGAATTTCAGAGTGTAAGTGAAACAAATCGGCAAAGAGCATCAAGTCCCGTGTATCCATACAGAAAATGGCGTATTAGATATGGACGCTTAGAACAGTCTATTGTAAGTATCTATAAATTGCAATGATATACTTGTTCATCATGAATTATATTTGATCATATTATTTGGCTTAATGTGTAGTTAACAAAGGAGAATAGTTCTGAAACATCTCTTTCGACACATATTTTGTGGAAGGAAGCCCTGTGGATAAGGATGGAGTTGTCAAAGAAGATGTTCAAAAAGTTTTTGAGAAATGTGTAAGTATACCATTATTTATTTAATTAAATCAAAAGTTTAATAACATATAATTAAGACAAATTTTAAATAGTCATATGAATTTCAGGAGAGTCTATCTCATTCTATATGTCCAGATCAAGACAATGATTGCATGAGCATACTTAGTCGAGCATTAGATATTCGTGAGTATTCTGGTCGAGTGAGGGGTAATGGATTTGGAATCACTCCAAAATCCTTGAAGATGAAAACACAAAAGACTCTTAGTAATAAAGAACTGCAGGAAACCTTGGAAGCACTACAAACAGAAGTCTGTGAATTGAGAAGGGAAAAATAATTGAGAGAGCAAACTTCAGGTTTTAAAGCTATTAGTGACAAAGGTGGTATCGGTTGTAATTTTCAATCGAATATTCCAGAGGTAATTATATATATCATTATGAAATTAAAGTAACTTAATTTATTTAATTGAAATATATACACAATAACAATTTGAAATTTATTATTGGTTTTAGGGCATTTCACCTCGTCAACTCTACTTATCGTCACCAACTTATCGGATGGTTGGCAAGGGAAAAGTGCATAACACTTTGGGAGAATTACTTCATACTAAACCGCTCCCTACTGGCTGTTTGAAAGTATCGGTTGACATTACTTTGGAGAAGGATGTGTTATCACCACATCCTGACGATGTTTCAGATGCCACACTGATGAGAGATGTAATAGGTTTGTTTGTTGTATGACCGTCAAGTCTCATTAGTGTAGACGATGATGTATGCTTAAAACCATATATATGAACATTTGAGTATTCAAAGTTTTTACGCGTATTTTACGTACATTTTGTTTTTACATGGTTATGTTAATTAGACTCCAACAAAATCCAAAGCAAAATACAAGAGAATTCTGCATCAAACCGAGTCAGTTGCATCAATAAAAGAGGTACATCACAATTATATGATATTTATGCATGAAAAACGTTAATTTGTGATCTTATACTTCACATAACTAATTATACGATCTTCAGATTCATGCTAGAGAGAATGAAGATGTTGGTAGGGGTAAGAAGGTAGTTTCTAAGAAGACCGCAGCTAAAAAAAAACCTACTTCCAAGTTTAGGTCGTGCCTTGGAACATTTTTAGAAATGTCTGATATTTCGGAAGGAAATACTCGTCTTCTACCTATGGAGTTTGGTATTTTTGGTTTTGAATATTCCGAAACAATTGGTATGGAAGATTTTGATCAAGTTTTACAACATACGCAGTTAGGCCTCGGTGTTGTTAATACATACATAAGGTATATCTGATCTACATTGTCTAATTAATTGATCAATTCATTTACTCATTTCAAATGTTAATGAGGTCTTTTATTTAAGGTTTTTGTATGAAAAATTGATGTGCCCGAGTGGATTGGAGAAAAGATTCGCTTTCTTATCTCCTTACAATACCAACTTAGGGTTAATCATGCATAAACCAGATGAAGCCATGGCATATGTACTCGAGCGCTTTATGACCGACAAAGATACCGAAAAGTTGTTCTTTTTACCGCTTAATACCGGCAACGAGTTAGATTTTCATGCTAAATTCATCTATTATAATTTTTTTCATATTTTGACGATGTGTAAAAAGTTTTCATCTAACATTTGTTTAATCTTACAGCGGACATTGGTTGTTGGTCGCGATTAATCCTATCAGAGAAGTTGTATATTATCTGGATTCTTTACGCAATGATCCAAGTACATATCAAGATATGAAGAATATGGTTGACACGTAAGTAAAATTATTCTAAATATTTGTGTGTATATTTATTTATTTATTTATGTGAATTGTTCTAAATATGCTTTTATGTTTTATTAGCATTATACAAGTTTTTCGAGCACAAAGAGGTGTTCAAGTACCAAAGAGTAAAGCCAACAACATCACATGGATTATAGTGGAGGTATATTAATTAATTATCACAATTTTGATTATATTAATAGTGATGATACTTGATAAAACTTAGGCCTTATCCATATTTTCTTTTCATGTGTAGTGTCATCGGCAGCGTAATGAAGTAGATTACAGTTTTTACTTGTTGAAGTTTATGAGAGGAATCCTTCTTTTGGATTGAATAGAGATTCCATCTAAGGTATGAATTTCTAACTTAGGAGTTATTTTAATATTTAACACATATTTCTCATATAATTAAATAGTTTTAACTTAAACATACTATGTTATATTATTATGTAGTATTTTGATTGAATATATTAGGTGTCAATATATTATTGAGACGAAAGTTATATAAGGTATATTGTAATCTTGCTTTAATTTATGAGAATTTTGAGTATATTCAAGTGTTGAAATTGTGTTGTTGTTTGTCATGTGGTAAATTATATATATTTTGTTTGTATCATGGTATGAATTACGATATTTTGGTGTTGTTTCAAGTTATATGTGCATATGTAGAAGATAAAGATGAGTAGATTTTGTAATGATATATAATGGTGTTGTTTTTTGTAAAAGTATATATGTACAAGAGTAATAGTATACATAAGTACATTGGTGCAAATGTATAGTATCTTTTGATATTATTTTTTATTGGATTGAAGCTTCAATATTAGTGAAAATCTGGTGAAATTTATAATGGTATATACATGTGCAAAATATGGTGAAAACCTGGTGCAAATATGGTTAAAATTTGTGCATATAAAATTGTATATAAAAACAGCGTTTTTTTTTCTTCAAAAAGGTTATATAAAAAATTTCGTGGATATTAGACAGCGCTTTAAAAAATGCTGTCTAAAGTCCCCTTTAGACAGCGCTTTCATAGTAAAAGCGCTGCCTAAAGGGGCTATTTTTTTATTTTTTATTTTTCAGAAAAAGCGCTGGCTAAAAGGAGTCTTTAGCAGCACTTTAAAAAAAAGCGCTATCTAAAGGAGACTTTAGACAGCGCTTTAACATTAAAAGCACTGCCTAAAGGGGCTTTTAATTTTAATTTTTTTTTTTGTTTCAGAAAAAGCGCTGGCTAAAGGGGAGCCTTTAGCAGTGTTTTAAAAGTAAAAGCGCTGACTAAATGGGGTCTTTAGCAACGCTTTAAAAGTAAAAGCGTTGGCTAAGGGGGGCCTTTAGCAGCACTTTAAAAATAAAAGCGCTGGCTAAAGGAGGGATTTAACAGCGCTTTTATTTTTAACGAAACGTTGTCTTTATCTACAACAATGTTGGAATACACAGCGCTTTAAAGCGTTGTCTAAAACAAAACAAAAAATATTTAAAGTCTTGTTTGGCATAATAGATTTTGATATAACCTATATTGATAATATTGAAAATAAAAAAAATATTTTTTATGAAAAATTAAGATGTATTTGAAAATTAAACTTAATAAATAATTTAAAAATAAAAATAGGTGAAGAATATGAAAATCATGTGAATAAGTTATACTTTTTAAAAAGGAAATAGATCATGCAATAGAAAATAATATAGATCATATTTTATTAGTTGAAAGGATGTATTATAATGGATTTACATAATTATTTCTCTGTTAATATTTGTTTAAACAAATACATTAATTTTTAATTTTTAAAATTATTAGTTTATCATATTTTTTTTTCACATTTTATTATACTTTTATTTTTATTTTTATAGGTTTCTTCCACTTTGTATTAAGGTAACTGTTCATCTCTCATAATCAAATGATTAACATTATTATTCTTACCGTTTTTATTTATTTTGTTTTCATTTTTAATACATTTTATTATACTTTTATTTTTCTTTCATTCCCTTCTCATATTCAAAAATTATTATTGAAATTAATTCTATGCAATATAAAGTTTGAACTTTATTAATTTTATCGTTTTGATTTGTTTTTTTCTCTCTTTTAATTGCACTATGTTTTCTTTTAATTTAATTATTTATTTTAAATATTAAAGTTATTACTTTATCGTTATTTTTGTTGATATTTTATTATGCTCCACTTCTAAATCTTCATAAATAAATAAATAATTATCCCACTTACTTGATATTTTTTTAATTAATTTATTATATTTATTTATTTAATAATAATTACTACTCCATTAACTTGATATTATTTTCTTTTAATTAATAAAATATCATCTAATTTTCAAAAACTTTCCATTAGCCATGTTTCCATGTTATATTTATTTATGTAATAGTAATTATACTAAATTATAATTTTATAACTTCTTTTACGGTGGCATCTCATCCAAAAAAGATTATAGAAGAGAGTTGTTTAAAATGTAAACCAAGAAACAATTTAAGAAAAGTTGCACTTGCGTATACAAACCCTTCTTTACGTTTATATGCCAGCTTTGATTTACTATATACAGATAAGTTATGCACTTGTGGTGGAAAAGTATTTACCTAAAGAAGAAAATAGCATTGATCACCCAAATAACCAATATTTGACAAAAATTATCATGCAAAAATAACATTGGACATACGTGTGCACCCTTCTCTCGACGGTGGGATGGGAGAAATGGCAGAACTAGAAAGCAAGTCGGCGTTTGTGAAGAATTCATCCATCAATAGCGTTGGAAAATCAGGTCGTCGTGTTGCCTTCGAAATCCCCTTTGAAAATAATCATCAAAGCCATTCTCCCTACCACAACCATAATATTGAAACCCCCGTCGACGAATTTGATACAGGACATTATCATCCATGTTGTTTGGCATGTTGTGCATGGTCATGTCTTGCCGTGTTCATCTTTGTTGTAATTTTTCTCTTTTTCGGGATATCATATTTGGCTTTCCTCAAATCAGGAATGCCAAAAGTCAATGTTAGAACATTCAGCATCAACAAGTTTCAAGTTAATTATAACTCGCACAAAATGGATGCAAACATTAATTTAGGTTTAAAATTCTCAAATAAGAATGAAGAGTTCAAACTTTTGTACGGTCCTCTTTTTGTGGATGTCATTAGTGAAGGTGTGAAATTGGGTAACACTAAACTTAAAGGTTTCTCTCAAATGCCTCGAAATGAGACGGATTTGGACATAACAATGACGACGAATCATGAAATTGTTAACAATTATGCTGCAGATGAATTAAAATCAGACATTAGTGCATATGAGATGGTGTTTGATGTATATATTAGTGGAAACATTGGTGTGCAAATGGGTGGTTTGCATATGATCAATGTGCCTTTTTTGTCAACCTGTGAACAAATAAAAAAGATGGATGTGGATTATGGAAGAAAGCCTGAATGTGATATCAAGATGTTTTCTTTTAGGTGAAATTATGAATAATTTATATCATAAATTTTTTTTTTTGAAATCGTGGTATCTAGCTTTATGATCGAAGGACCCAAACCTTCGTCACTAAACTAATAACTCTGAGAGTTTAGTCATGCATATTGTTTAGTTATACATTTTAATAGACATGTGAATGTTAAATTTTTAAATGTTACTGTGTATCATTTAAAACAATACTAATGCCTTTTCTAAATATTGTTGTGTATCATTTGTTTCAGGCCTTCAACCAATTGACGACATCAATGATGAGAAGCAAATTTTAAGGCTGCGATGTTCTAAAACTTCTCGTGTTGATTGACAAGTTAATTATTCATAGGATGTAACACTTATACAAAATGTAGTAAAGTGTTTAATGGTCATTAGAGACATGTACATCATTGAAGTATTTCAATTTTAGATAAAGTTGTTTTGTATTCTCCTATGTGCACATGTATACATGTTTTAATTATATAGTTATTGTTGTCAAATGCTTAGGCATAGTCCAATCTATTTTTATATTTAAGATAGTCTAATAGTTTTGGTCCAGTCAATTGAAACAGATAAATGACACATTTCCCCTTTTCTCCTCACTCAAGAAACCGTGGTCGATTGTCCCTCCTGGACAAACGTGACCACCATTACCCTCAGCAACACCTTTGTCCGCATAAGCACTTTTATCCTTCAGTCGGAGACATGTGGTCGGTTGTCTCCTCAGGACCGACGAGACCACCGCTACCCTCAGCGGCACCTTTTCCTGCAGTAGCACTTCTGCCCCTCAATCGGGGACACATGGTCGATTTCCCCCCCAAGACCAACGAGACCACCGCTGCCCTCAGCAACACTTATGCCCCTCAATCGGGGACACGTGGTCGGTTGTTCTCTAGGACCAACGAGACCACCGCTGCCCTCAAAAGCACCTATACCTGCATTTGCTTCTGCCCCTCAATCGAGGATACGTGGTCGGTTGTCCCTCCAGGACCAACACAACCATATTTGCCCGCTCAAACAGGCTAGTTCTAATCCTGCCAACCACATGAGGACATCCAACCAAGAATGGGCAAAATCATCTTTACCCGTGAGCACCTCTTTTCTCGTCATAACGGCCAACTTCACTCCTCGATTTACTCTACACACGTAGAGCAGACACCTAGAAAATACTCATAAACGCTTATGTCCGTCACCTCATCCTTGCTCGATGCAACGATTAGTTACTGGCACGACTGCCCATTTTGACCAAGTCCTGGCAGTTATCTATTTTTGCAAACCCGCATATCTAGGTCTAAAAATAGGGACCAATGACCAAGCGCCAATGGCATTATAAAAACCCTCACACATGTGAGGGTCGGGTATCCATTATTCATCACCAAAACCCTAATCTCTTTCTTGTATCTCTTTGTGCTCATACTGACTTTAGCATCGGAGTGCCTTGCAGGTACACCCCCTCCTCCTCCATTCCAGCATTGAAGTCGAAGTATCTAGCCCACTTCAGGTTCTGATCAACCAGTAAGATCAGTGGCACCATCTGTGGGAAACTTGCTCTCCCCATCTTTCTTTCCCCAAAAACCAAAGATCAAAGCAGATAATCAAGATTCCAGTCATGGCCAACTTTGAAGATAACAACAATGCTCATAAACCCATTATCTCCCTTGTCTGCTAGGCAGATGACTATTCCAGGATGCCCTTTCTTGAAGAGGTCATCCCATTGAGAGATGGTCGCACCGTTTCCCCATCTTTTGACGAGGCGGAAGACGTCGACATCGAATCTCACAAGACCAAGAAAGCTCAAGAAGGAGCACAAGAGAAGACGCATGTAATCCCTGCTCCACCCAATGCTGACCATGATATGGTTGCTCTGCTCGCAACTCTCAACTAGAACAACTCACTAATCTTCCAACAAAGCGAGATGATTGGGGCGTTGGAAATTGCTCTCTGGTCAAATTCTCCCCCTCGGAGGCACCAACGACAAAGATCACACAGTCTGTCTCCCCGACGACATGATCATCACCGGAGGCAAGAAAGAGCTCATATCCTGGTTGTTGTATCCCAAAATTTTCCCTCTCCATTCTTGTTGTACATGGCTTATGTTTCCTCATGTACGTCCACTTGATGACATTCAGTCCGAGATAAATCTCGTATCCTACTGATTTGGGCTACTAAGAACTCTAAGGCTTTGTGACATCTCAAGTTGAATCCTTGCATCGTCAAGAGAATTTAAGTCTGCATTGGTTTAGAAGGGTCAAGTGTTTGGAGTTCAAGATTACTGGAGATTTTCTGTTTCATGAAGCTACAAGGTTTTCGTACTCAAACTCCTTCCAAAATGAATCAGGGTTTTATTTGCAAAGCTAAGGCATTACTGTTTGAAAATGGAGTAAATGCAAAGCGCGATACAAGCGATGAAAATTGTTGGATTAATATTGTGGTCAAGGCACATATGGTCACGATTCCTACAAAAATACAATTGGACTTCTCTCACTAATCAAAGTTTCTGGACGTTATCGTGTGAAATACTTTGCGCGGTCATTTCTAGCATTTGTCGCGCAAGTTTCTTTGGATTTCATTTCAAAAAAACCTAAAGTTCAAAATCTAAGTGTTCTTATGGAAGATTAGGGTTTCTTTATCTGAAGATCAAAAGAATTAAAGGCATTTTGAGATTTTGAGAAAGATGGAAATTGAATTTTGTTTCAAGCACCATTCTTAAGGCAATTCTAATGCACCATTCAAGATTTGTTACAATTATTGCAATTTCATTTTTGGGTTATTAAAGATTCAAGAAGTTTTAAGTTTGTGATTAAGATTGGAAATTAGAGTTTCATTTGATTTTGTGCCATATAGTTCTAAAGATCCAATTCTAAATTCAAGGGTTCAAAGCTCATATCATTTCTTTCATCATCCTTTTCATTCTTTCATTCAAATCAAACAACTTTTACAATAATTGTCTTACCATTTTAAAATCATTCAATACATTTCTTCCAATTATTGTTCATTCCAAATAATTACAAAAAAAATCAAGTTCACATTCAAGTGTATCTTACAAAAAGAATGACTAAATTCCTAAACCTTTCTAAAGTTCTAAATTCTACTTTTCTTCGATTCCTCTAAGATTTTGTGGCAAGCCACGACTTCACCATCTTTCCAATGCTTTACCATCTTCGTCCACTCCTCATCGGTCATACATGAAACAAAGAGAAAAAAAAACAAAATTACAAACAATGTTAAACTCGTCATTAGGGTGGTTTTAAGAATCAGAAAATAGGGTGTTTTGTGTGCTAAGGCCTCAAACATTTAGTTCTATCATGGGCCAATACTATTGCAAAATACAAACTATGTTGGTTCACGAGAGGAAAAGAAGCCCAACCGAATTTTCATCCCAAAAGAATGTCAATTCTGCCAAAAAAGAAAGCCACATACATGTTTTAAAAAAAATCAGAATTTGTACCATTGGCCTAAAAGAAAATGTTACTTTTTGCAAATCCTAAAAGTAGATTTTGGTTCACAAAAAGGAGAAGAATGGATCAAATGAAAATCAGATTAACATCATGTATTCACGCAAACAAAGAGCCTCATATGATTTCATATCAAAAGAAAATTCAGAATTTGTAAACTCAAATCATGGGCCAAAGTAATTGTGTTGCAAATCTCAAACAAATATCAAAGCAAATGTTTCGTTCACAGCATCACAAAAAAGTACCAAAACTAGTACAACAAGTACCAAAGTCCAACAAGCAACCATACAACAAGTGCAGCCCCAAAAGCAAGCAAAAGCAAAGTCACAAAACCAACAAAAGCAACCATTACAAAAAATCCAGCAAAAGTAAAGCAAGTACAGAATCCAACAACCAGCAACAAGTAACCGAGTATCAAAAGCAAGGTCAAAAGCATTATAATAAATTTGACTTGTCAAAAGTCAAAAAATAAAGTGACAAGGCCAAACCGAAGCCATATACTTTTAAATCCATATCAAACTTCCAAGCAAACAGATAATATAAAAAAGGGGATTTTCACAAGAAAAAAGAGACAGAGACAGATACAAAAAACCATACAAAGGTCGAAACAGCAATATACAACCCTTATCTCATAACCCTTTATCAAAAATATACAAGGCCGAAACAACAACATTATCATTTTTCCAGCAAAGATATACATAGTCAAAGCAAAACCGAGCCATCATAAAATTCCCAAAAAATCATTCACCAACAAACAAACACAACCGAAACAACACACAAAACCCTAAAAATTTTGTTCATCATCATTTTCCAAAACCTAATCCTTCAGAGTTCATAAAAGAGTAAGAGAAGAAAATATCACCCCAAAATCATGTAGAAAAAGCAAATCGGAACCCTTAGGGTTCCGATCATCCCCTTTTAGATCTACGCGAAACCAGGAAAAATCTGCAAAATCAAACACGAGATTAGTAATCAGGAGGACGAGAGGAAGAGATTGATGTAAGAAAAATCAAGATCCTAACATCGCCATTGATATCTAGTGGATGTTAATTGCGATAATGTGTTCTTGGGATCACTATTATCGTCGAACATCGCTGTGAATGGTGGTTTGAAGTTGTATTGGACCCATGCATCCTAGATCTCTGCCAATAAGGGATGGGGATCCAGTGGATCCTCTTGAACGTCAATGTATGTTGCTTTTGTTGCTACTGCTGCAAATCCCACATGTTATCCTACAATGTCTCATTATGGTGATATAATTCCTCCATATCAATCATAATTTCTACTATGGAAGCTTAGTCATTGTCGTGGTTGTTGCTACTAGTGACAACCATTGTCATCATGAAACAAGGTCAAACTATTGTTAGAATGAGGTGTGACCCAAATCAGTTTTATCAAACCCCACGATGGGCGCCAAATGTACACGTTGTGTCACTAATTGATATCTCTACTAATGCAAGGTCAATAAGATTCACAAACAATTATCTGAATAAAGTTGTGAGTTAATCATCCTCTTGTGCTCCTTCCACTATATAATGATTCTAGGCCCATCTTATAGGAAGGCCAAATTGATGACCTTTATTGTGATTGATTCTACTAATCATCACCTCTTAATGATGATCAAGAATCAAACTTTAATGGAGGGGATCCTCGTATCTGACATTCATGATTTGTCATAAATGAATATTTAAATCATATTTGAACCAGGGATTGACCCATACCAAGGTTGCATTGATATGTCTTGCCCTGACCCATTGACAAGTCCAAACCATTTTATACCTTTTAAGCGAGTTGCTCCATGTCCAACCCAAT